CCGCTAGTTCAACTTTGCTCACCGGCGCCATGTCTTTTCCGCTCTAGTCCACGGTCGTTCATATGGGCTTACAAAATCAATTTTCTCCTTGATTGTTGGCAACTGGTTGACATACTCTGCTGTTTTGTAGTAATCATACAATCGCACTGAGGCTCCAGATGCATCTCCGGCATTCTGCAATGAAACAAAAAAGTCCATGCTACACATGAAACTGAAGGGCTAAGAGGCAGTGAAAGGTGCAAATTAGAAGATAGACAGTGGGCTGTCTGAGGCTCGTTCATACTTTGCGTCAGCGTACGCAGGCGCCTGTTTCTAGGGAAGTATAGGTATCGACCTATCGTACGCCAGCCTTGCCGCGGGCAAACTTGAGCTCGAGCAAAACTGCCCGCGAGGACGCTGCTGTATGCTGGCATACGCTTGATCGATATCCTTACTTCCCCAGTCTCTGGCGTCCGCTGACGCAAGGTATGAACGCAACCTAAGCGCGTTGAGCGATAAGGGAAGCACTGACTGAGGAAATCGCGCATCAGCTAACGGCATGTTCCGCGAAGGAAATGCGGGGGTATAATTTCTAAGCAGGTACTGGTGGATGCAAACAGACTCGAAAGGGAAGCAAAAGCGAAATAAATTGTCGAGAATGCCCAAAAGGTATCCACTTGGATAAGTTCTGGGGCGTTCTCGCACGAGTTGGCCAGCGTTCAGAAGACATCTCCAGCGTTACTCCGATAAACCTGTATGGCTGCCCTCGGCGTATTCCGGCCAATTTTGTGAGTTTCTGTGGAATATGTTAACTTTGCGTTATGTTCCACCTCTATACTAGTTGGGCGTAGTTGGGGAGCACTCTATAGCGCGGCCTTTGGAATACCCCTTTGTATATCTCTTTTGTAAAATTCTAGGCTCAGAGCGCAGATGATCAGTTGCCAAAGGATAGCCCGCAGAGAAGACATGGTCTCCATTACGCCTAAGCCTTGATAAGGGGAAGGGATGCAGAGAAGCTGGCGAGCCCCCCCCCCAACTGTTAGTGTGCACTATTGTTTCGAAGGAGCGAAATAGGAAGAGCTTCTCGGGGTGAACCGCCACAAGCCACTGGCGTCTTTCACGCATTTTTAAGCGAAGAAAGTGGCGACTCTACGCTTTTGCATGCTTATGCACTAATGTGCACTAATAAGTTTACCTTGCAAGTGAAACGGAATATGCCTCCAAAGGCACGTCCCGCGTTCGAAAATGGTGAGTTGTGGTGCCGAATACTAATGGAAAAAAATAATAACAAGGAAAGAGCAGAAAAAAACTCGCTCGGTGTGCCTAACATGGGACTCCATACAGAACCGAGCTTGTACGAGAATAAGGCAAAGGGTATGCTTGAAAGAGTTTTCGCTTATTGATATCAGTTCTTTCACCTTGCCACCTCACTATCAACACTTATCAGAAGAGGTGTATTGAAACAACCGCACCACCAAAAAAACCTTAGAAATGAAAGATGGGCGTTGCCGCGGTCAGAGGGCGGGACCGTGGCCTCGCCGTAAGCGGGTCGCGCTTTCTTCATCTATTGTGAGCTTTGAAAGCAGTACATCCGTGCTTGCAGACAGTGCTACAATGCCTCATGCCGAATTAATGCGCGAGGTGTGCCTTCAAGAACGCACCAAATACAGCATTAACTGTAAACCTGTAAGCGGAAAGCAAGAAGGAAATACAGAGAGAATCAGTTTGATATAACCTACCGGGAATTCTTCTTGAAGCATATGCAGTGGTTTACGATGCTGGTGCGGCTTTCGGTAATAAGCAGGTCGTTGCACATTAGCTGGGTTTGTGGAGGAGCACCTTCTCAACAGCGTCATAGCAACGCAGTTTTCTATTGCATGACGACTGAGACTCCACCGGCGCATAATCTTAAATAGCCTGGAGCTTTGAAAAAGAAAGCGAATAACGCAACATCCACTCCGAGAAATATGCAACTAAGATTCAAGCATGAACAATAAACTGTGACGAAAAATAGGTTTCGCCGAAATCTCAACTTCAGAGCAGAACTTGAAACATGGGGTTCTGGCACTACTCCAACGAACAGTGAATCAGCTGATGTACAAACAATTAACAGCAGCAACGAGGGAGTCAATTATTTCTCCGCAAAATTACCGAAGAAAACATCCGCAAAATTACCGAAGAAAACAGTAAAACCGAGAATCGTCCATCTTGCCTAACAGCACGTAGAAATCTTGCAGACCGAGGCCGAGATTAATCAGAGAGAACAGATGAGGAAAATCTCAAGCACCACCTTTGCAAGACTTGTTGGGATTTTTCTCTACAACGAAGTTTGAAGAAGAGCGGATTTATTGGTCGTGTGGTAAAATGTTCGCTGTGTGATGAAGACAAAACCACACGATTGTCGCCACTTCCCCACCTAGCAGTATTTTTTTTCTAGCCGTGGTCGCTTGTGTTTATCGCGTTCTAGTTTCCGATCAATACGTAAAATATCTGATAGATAATTGATCGCTTTATCTGATGTAATATATTTCCCCAACGCTATTATCACATTTCCCGGAGCTAGGGCATTTTGAAATATTTGGGGCTTGTTTCCGAGTGCTCTGCTGCTCTCTTCAATTCAGTATTTGAGTAATTATGGAGATTAATGGGCCAATTATTTTTTAGCAGCAGTTCGGTTATGTGCACCCAAAGTAGGATATCTTGGTTAGAAAAGTTTATTTACCCGTAATTTGCTGAGCTGGAACTTATTGTTTCACAGGGCCATTAACAAATTAATGGGTCCTTGTGTATCAGTGACAATCTACGTAGCATTTTATGCGATCAATGCAATCCACAACGTCGAATTAGGCGAACTTAAAGGCAGTGGGCACGATGGTTGGGGGCAGGCGGTTGGTCCCAGCATCATTGGAGGAAAGGGCTGAGTGGGGTGCGGCCAAAGGCCCCTAGCCTTCCACCTATGACATTGGCAGCAGGCACTCGTGCTCACTGCCTTTAACCCTCCTAGGCACGACGCATCAGTGTCGTCTGTTTCGTGTTGGAGCGCACCTGTCGTGAAGTTCTGTGGGTGTGTCTCATCAGGAGCTGAAAAGAAAATGCTTTTTACGGCACAAATGCGGGCATTCATTTTGCGTTCGGACGCCGTCCTTGGTCAGGGTGTTCATGTCTGCGAGGAGAAAGGATGTATCAATTTTGAGGCTCGAAAATACGTGACAGCGACGCCACCTATTCGTGTCAAATGCGATGCCCCGCCCACTGCCCAACGCAACACCCACTTTTCCTTTGTAAAGGTCTGCTGCTTGTGCAGTGGTTCCTCTACTAGCTCGTTCGAATATCACACAAGAAAAAACTGAAGACCATAGAATTTTGAATCTTGTCAAAATTCCTAGACCGTTGAAATTAATGAGACTACTATCAGTAGGTTTAGCT